AAAAAAAAAAAAAAATAAATAAAATAAAATAAAATGAGTATATAGGACTTTTAATAAAGTGTTAAGTGCTGTATAAATGACAGCCTCTCCACTCCCACTGCCCACTGATCACACCATTGTAATTGTGTCTTCCCCCTGCCTCACCCCCACCCTGAATGCGATTCCTAGAGGGCAAAGGGATAGGGGCTATCGCAGTGAGTGTTCCCAGGACAACATGCTTAGAGTGGGGGGGGGGGATTAAGAACCAAATGCGGGGGAGGGGGGGATTGGGCAGCACCTGTGGCTCAAGGAGTAGGATGCTAGCCCATATGCTGAGGGTGGTGGGTTCAAACCCAGCCCTGGCCAAAATAACTGCAAAAACAACAACAACAACAACAACAACAACAAAACAAAAAAACAAAAAAACCAAATGGGGGAAAAAGCTGGAGATTGGCAGAAGGAGGTAGTAGGGGAGGAACTTAGTTCTCTGTCTTCCCCACCCAGTGCAGTCCCTGGAGGAAGAATGCCTGCTGCTCAGTCAACACCAGCCAGGAGCTGCATAAGGACACTTCCCGCCTGTATAACTTTAACTGGGACCACTGTGGCAAGATGGAGCCTGCCTGTAAGCGCCACTTTATCCAGGACACTTGTCTATATGAGTGTTCACCCAATCTGGGGCCCTGGATCCAGCAGGTAAGGTGTCTCTGGAAGCTGCCCTCCAGCTCAGTCTCCTTCAAGGCTATGGCTGCCAGCAACTCTGGCTGGGAAGAGCTCTGCCACCCCATCTCCCATCCAGGTGGATCAGAGCTGGCGAAAAGAACGTTTTCTGGATGTGCCCTTATGCAAAGATGATTGTCAGCAGTGGTGGGAAGCCTGCCGCACCTCATACACCTGCAAAAGCAACTGGCACAAGGGCTGGGACTGGTCCTCAGGTGAGGGACTGGAAGTGGGGAGATACAGAAGGGGTTTGGGGTATTTGAGGATTTGGGGTTGGTTGGGGATTTGAGGGGTGGAGCTTTGGGCTGAGTGGCTAAATGTCTGTGTCCACCATCTCTGAAGGAGTTAACAAGTGCCCAGCTGGAACCACCTGCCGCACATTTGAGTCCTACTTCCCCACACCAGCTGCCCTTTGTGAGGGCCTCTGGAGTCACTCCTACAAGGTCAGCAACTATAGCCAAGGGAGTGGTCGCTGCATCCAGATGTGGTTTGACCCAGCCCAGGGCAACCCCAATGAGGAGGTGGCAAAGTTCTATGCTGAGGCCATGAATGCTGGAGCCATGCCCCAGGGGACTGGGACTCTCCTGTTCAGCCTGGCCGTGATGCTGCAACTCCCTGGCTGAGTCCAGTCCTCCCAAGACCTGCTCTCTACCTGCTTTCAGCTTGGGTGACCAGGTTGGGCTCAGCTTATCTCCCACAAAGGACAGAGCCCTAAGGATGCCTCCATCCATTACCCACCCTTCTGTTATCCAGTCCTGCTCCACAGCTTGCGGTTCTTCCAAGAGTCACTTCTAATAAACAGGCTGACGCATCCATGTCTGAAGAGTTTATAGGTGGGCAGGAGACAAATTACATAGCATCTGAATTCCTTAAGGTTAGAGCAACTAGACCTATGTTTGAATCTCAGCTCTGCTACTTACTATATGAAAGTGACATAATTGTTTCACTGCTCTAAACTTTTCTTTCCTCTTCAGTAAAATGAGAGTAATAATCCTTCCCTCAGGGTTGTGAAATGTAAAGGAGTTGTTGCCTAGAAAGCAAGTGAGCCTAGTGTCTGCAGATTAACAGTCCTCTGGGATCTTGTCGCTTTTGTAAATTCACACAAAAGCCAGGGGGCAGAACTTCTTATTTATGTTGGTCTTAAAACATCCCTCTTCCACCTCCAGCCTTTGCCTGGCTCTGTGCTCAGTTCTTCAATGGAAAAGCTAGGGAGGTGAAAAAAATTCACACTGGCTGACATGACTTGGATTGAAAGGGCAGAGTTGGATCTTGGGACCCTCAGAGGAGGAAAAGAGCCAGTAGGCGCTTCCAGCGTCCTGGGTCCTGTAGGTGTAGCCGGAAGAGGGTAGGAGATCTTTAGGGGCTTCCCAGGGGCGGAAGCCTCTGGCACATTTGTTCTCTCCAGGGATTAGCAGATATGCCTATCTTGGAGGGTTGCTATCTTTGCACAGCCCCCAGTAGTTGAGTCTGAGTTGATCCCCACGGTCCTTGGGTAAGTTTTTTTATCTCCACACTCCTACTACAATGGTCCCTAGAGAGGCACAGGTACCTGTCTGAGAATACCCCAGCAGGTGGGTGACCCAGCTAGGACTGGAACTCAGGTATGCAGACTCTCCTCTGACATCACGGATCCCCTCATCCCAGGCTCACCTCTCATACCAAAAGGTAACTGATGGGGGAAGTTGGGCACAAACTGGAGGATGAATTATTGGGTTCTTGGCAAGATCTGGCGGCAGTGTTTGGTGGGTGGATCTCCTAGTTATTCTATTTATCTAGCGTGGAAGGCCCCACAAAGCCCCTTTCAAATCCCAGGCTTGTTCCAGCTGGGTTAAGCCAATACATATTTGAAATAGAGAAAGGAGCTGCTTGGGACTGACAGGGGCTCGGTCAACAGGTTCAATTTAGCAAAGTGAAAGTTCTCGCCCGGGTTAAAGGGCTCCTTCTACAGCGGTCCAGGAGCTGGCTGCAGTAGGCGCAAGTCTGGAAGCCTGCGCCTTTAAGGAGCCAGGGGGCGGAGGGGCGGGGCAGGAAGAGGACTCCCAGGAGACGCCGCCACCGGCTAGGGCTTTTTTTGGGAGGGGGTGGGCCAGACCCTTCCAGGGGCTTGACCGCCTTCCCCCACTGCGGGAGTGGGAGGAGGAGGAGGAGGAGGACTGGGGGCGGCAGAGTGCACCCGGCAGTGGGAGCTCCCTGCTCGGCGTCCGGCCTACGGAGGCGCAAGTTTGTTGACTTGGAGGGAGTAGCTGGGGCGGGTGCTAATAATACCCGTTGGCTCCGCAGCCGCGCTTTACAGTTTACACAGCTGTCACTCCCTTACTCCTTAATTAATAATAAAAATAGCCGCCGTTCGGGAGCGCGGGCTGGATGCCAGGCCCTGTGCTGAGCGCTTTACAAGCACAGCCCCACTGAGTCTGCCTTCGTAACGTTATCCCCATTTTACAGAGCGGGAAGCCAAGGCTTAGGGAGGCGCCGTGACTTGCCCGAGGTCGCTCGGCGGGTCAGCAGCTCCAGGACCCAGACGCGGGGTAGGGTGAGGCGGGGCGTCGGGTGCTACCCCCGGCTCCCGGGAGAGCGGCGGGGGCGGAGCGGCGGGCGGGGCGGAAGGCGGGGGTTGTGGCGGCGGCGGTGGATGGCCATCTTAAGTGGCCGCTGAGAGTCCAGGGCCGCTTACCCGGGGAAGGGGGCACCGGAGCAGCCCCGGAGGTGGGGGTCTGCATGGGGTGGCCAGGGCTCTGAGGAGGGGTCGGGAACCGGAGGATTTGAGGGAACTTTCTCTTGGATGGGCAAGGGGAGCCTCCTGGTCCCGGACTGCTAAAGCACTTAAGGCCCCGGCCTGCGGGTGTGGGGGGTGGTGCCAGGGAACTTGGCCGAGAGGGGGAAGGGCTCTGCCAGGCGGGGAGGGATTGCCGGGGACAGTGAGTGAGGGGCCCCAGGACACTGGACTTCGTCTTGGGTGTGGGAAGTCGGAACTGTATGGAGGGGATCCCCCCGGTGGGATTTGTCTGGGAACGGACCCGGTGGAGTTGGGGGCTCAGATCCAAGAGGCGGCTGGATTTCACAGGAGTTGGGGGTCCTGCCCTCTTGGATGAAGGGGAGAGGAATGGGGGTAGGTCCATCTTGGATCCTTCCCGGGTTTGGGAAGCCTAATCTAGAAAGGCTGTACGGGGTCCAGTGGAAAGGATTTGTAGTGGAATTAGACCTTTATGGGGGTTAGGGGTCATACCAATTGAGAGTACTGAAGATGACTGGATTCTCCAGGGGCTGCTAGGACCCCGAGGTATCGGGGTGCAGGGTGGGGGACCTAAACTTCTAAAGGGGTTTGGGGGACTGAATCTCTTCAGCTTGGTGATGAGGGACAGGATCATTGTGGGGTTTTAAATGTCCCTGGCTCTGCGGGAATGTGGGGCATCATCCCCGCGGAAAGAGGTTGGGGGCAGGGGTGGTCTGGGCTGTGGGCCGAGCGGAGGGGGAGGGGGCCGGCCGCCCTGCGCTGCGCTGCGCTCCCGCCCCTCCCCCTCCGCCCCTGAACAAACTTTTCTTTCTCCTCAAGTTGAGGCCGGCGCTGCAGGCGGCGGCGGCTGCGCGGCGAACTAGGCGGCCTGCGTGGCGGAGCGCGGAACCCGGATCCCCAGCTCTGTCCAGCCCGCGGATCCTCAGGTCCGGGACCCGGGCCTGGCCCCAGCCTCAGCCCCGAGCGTCCCGGGGCCGATGGCACGGGGCGGCGGGCGCGGGCGGCTCTGAGCCCTGCGTGGGGCATGGCGTGCGGGGCGCCTGGCCCGGGGGGCGTGGGCCCCGGGGGCGCGCTCGGCAGCCCGGCACCGCCCTGGTACCACCGTGATCTCAGTCGCGCTGCGGCGGAGGAGCTGCTGGCCCGGGCGGGCCGCGATGGCAGCTTCCTGGTCCGAGACAGTGAGAGCGTGGCAGGGGCCTTCGCGCTCTGCGTCCTGTGAGTGGGGCAGCATGGGGGGTGCGGGGGCACGGCCGGGAGTTCACTGAGTGTGTGGGGAGGGCCCGGGTTGGCCAGCCTGGCCTCCACCCCCAGAGTTGGCTTTATCCTGGGGCTGAGGAAGGATGCAGGGGGTACTTCCTTCCTGCGGTGTGTCTGCTGGGCACTTTTTCAGGGACCTTGAGGGCAGAGAATGTCGAGTTCTGCGTGTGGCCCAGGGTGGCTGTGATGGGGGAAAGTGCAGGCAGACCCTCTCAGACATCCTGCAGGTAGAAGAGATGCAAGGATGTGCATCTCTGTGAGAAGAGATGTGAGGATGTGCAGTCTATAGTGTGTGCAGTTCTGTTTATGTAGGGGTTGAATGTCTGAGTGCTGGGCAGGGGCAGGAGGGGGCAGAGGGACTGATGTAGTCTGTGAGGAGGGCTCCTTTCCGTGCTCTTGGGTTCTGCCTGGCTGTGTATGGCTGATGGGGGTGGTTGGTGAGAGCTTGGGGAGGCAGAGGGTGAGGCTGTATTTGACCATGCCATTAGGTCATGAATCAATGAGTGAAGGAGTGTGGCTTGGCTCTGGGCTTGGACTGGGGTTATCTGGCAGTTCTAGCCCTGAGCTATGAGTACTGAGAGTAGGGCTAGACTTGGCACTTCCCTTAGTGGGTTGGGCCCTGTGGCCTGTACCCAGACGGGCTTTTTTTGTGGCAGTGGTGTTGGATGAGTTAGTACTTTTAGTTTTGCAGTCTTCACCCTGACCTGTACTCAATGCCCTGCAGTCTGACACTGAGTAGGCTTCTGGAGTGGGAAGTAGTGAGTGGGAATCTGTGAGGGGCTCCTTTGTTTAGATGTAGTTATGGTCTTCACTACCCCAGTGGGCTCTCTCACAAGCACCTCTCTGTTCCCTCCTTCTCCTTTTGTTCTTCTGACATCTTTGGGTACTGTGCATTGGCTTAGACCAAGGGAGATATTTTTGATTGTCACAAGTAGGATGGCTGTTGGCAGCTAGTAAGTAGGTAGAAGCTGGGGATGCTGCTAAATATCCTATAGTGCACAGGACAGTCCCCCGCAGTAAAGAAGCATGCAGCCCAGGCTCAGTGCCTGTGGCATAGTGGTTACGGCACCAGCCACATACACTGAGGCTGGCAGGTTCAAACCCGGCCGAGGCCAGTTAAACTGGACAACTGCAACAAAAAATAGCTGGGTGCTGTGGCGGGTGCCTGTAGTCCCAGCTACTTGGGAGGCTGAGGCAAGAGAATCGCTTAAGCCCAAGAGTTTGACGCTGCTGTGAGATGTGATGCTATGGCACTCTATTGAGGGTGACATAGTGAGACTCTGTCTCAAAAAAATAAAAAAGTATGCAGCCCAAAATGTCAGTAGTACAGTGGCTGAAAAACTCTGGCCTGGCAGTTGACATGACAAAGAAGGGGCCCTGTAAGTCTCAGCTTATGCCTAAAGTCTGAGGCCTGGTTTGGGAGACTGATAAGGAATAGCCTAGGCCCATAAGTATTCTAGGAGTCCTGTGACCTGGCCTGGCCCCCTCTGAGGCATACCCCCTAATTAGGGAGGGGAAGAAGGCAGGTGCTGGATCAGCTGCTGAGTGGGAAGGGGACAGCTGGGGCCTGTGTCTGGGTAAGGAGCATTACTATCCCAGGACAGGGAGAATATAGGCTCCATTGCCGGGGAGAGAATTAGTGGATATAGATAGGGGTCTATCTATATGTGGGGGCTTCAGACCAGGTGCGGTGGCTCATTCCTATAACCTTAGCAATCTGGGAGGCCAAGGCAGATGGATTGCCTGAGCTCACAGGTTTGAGACCGATCTGAGCAAGAGCGAGACCCCATCTCTAAAAATAGCTGGGTGTTGTGGCGGGCGCCTGTA